CCCTCTCACGTGATGTTATGCTGCTCCCAGACATTCAGGGGTAGCTGCAAAAGAAACTGTCACAAGGCTGCAAAATTGAGGGACTTCCAAAGATGAAAACTTTGAAAATGTGTGAAACATGGGGCAGACCAGGGGAGGACATCTCCAGCACTAACACGGCAATTCCCGGCAGGCGAGCTACAATGGTCAGAGCTGGGCTTGCGAGGGGAAATCACAAGACCTACGGAGGAAGAGACTGAAGGCAAAAATTGCCAATCTGCAATCAGGTCTGCTCTGCAACAAAGACCAAATAACACTGGTTACTGCTTCTGCTCTAGCAATGCAGCCGTTACTGAATTGAAAACTGGGACGCTGGAGATCATCTACTTCTTGTGATCATTTGTTTCAGTGATTAATAGCTTTCATCTTTACAAAAAGCTGTTCCCTATTTTTTAAATCTATCCTTCAGATATTTTTCCTCTGGGTACATCCAAACCAGTAAGCAGCACTCCAAATGCATAGATGTAAATGTAGACTGCACATATCGTATGCACACAACTAAAAACTGAGGCTTGAAGTCACGACCAAGTTCTAAATATTTGCTTGCTTGGATTTCATATAAAACACTCGCTCAAAAAGAAATCTTGCATGTGACTTTCAAGCAAGTGGTATTCATCAGCAGATTTTTGGCATGCCAAGGGAAACTCAATATATAAAGCTGAGGAACACTTGGGGGCAAGGATGAGGAAAAGGGGAGGAGAAAAAATAAATAGGGATTAATGCAAAAGGAGGAAGAAAACAGGATACAGGCCACTAAGTTAGGAATGAAAATCTTCAATATTTTTCGGAATTCGAAGTTAGTCTGCCTAGCCCTGGGCTGGCCTAACTTTCAGGTTTAGCTTTTTTACAGAAGCTACCTCGTTATGCCACTGCTGCTACAAGCACATTAGGGCAATGTTTTACCAGGATTTATCCCACGTACCAGACATGAATTCCCCAGTGTATTAGCAACAAACAAGATTGATGGAAAGGGGAAAGAAAGCAAAAAAGTTCAGGCATGCATGCCTTTTTGCTCTACTATTATTTTGTGGGGTTTTTTTAAAAACATGCTGTAGTTATTTAGGGAGAAGCAGACTTAGCCAAAGTTGGATTTCACTTGCAACTTGCTCTGTGCTAGACTACGAGACACCAACCTTAGCAGTGTCCAGCAAAACCTGTGCCAAACAACATCTTAGGGCCAAAATACTCGTAGATTAAGAACTTCTGAAACCAAAAAGATTTTATTGGATATAAACAGCAGACCACTGGCCTCTATTGTCTGCAGGGAACACTTCACTAGCAGCTTCAGTCTAGCAGCAGAATGAAGCTCTTGTGGGAGGTGGTAGCCATGGAGTGACAGACAGTCTCTTGGTAGCTAAAATGAATTCCAGGCAGAGCTTTGAAAATAGTCACCACAGCAACCTTGAACTGGATCCTGCCTTCGGTGGGAGCCAAAGGCGGCTGAGACGAACCCAGCAATCTGCCTTGCTGAGTCACTGTCTTGCCCTGTGCTGCAGTGTCTGCTGCGTGTCGAGGAGGGCTTCTCAGCACTTCCAGGGGGACGGGTACCCGGAGAGGATGGCTGCCAAACTCTGAGCGATTGCCTCGTGCAGTCCCGAAACTGTGCATCACAGGATCTTTTTGTTTA